TTGGACTTGAAAGGGTGTGACTCTGCCAGTCTATTCCCCTTTCACTGTCCTTAATGCTTCTTAACCTCTCTAATTCGTCCTTGAGCTCTGCCATCAAGCACAGCAATGAACAGTTGTACTAAGTTGTTTGAATTCAATAGTACAGACATTTTATCAAGTTTCATCTAGTAAGATGAAACTAATCACAGAGATTTGTTCTAAATTGACAAAGTGTTCTCATACCTGTAAGTCCAACCTTCTTTCTGCACATGAAACATCTGTTCTTCCTTGGTTTTGGCAGTTCAGGAGCTCTCTCTTCACTCTCTGAAGTACTAGGCTGAGAAACCGATGGGCTTGGTTGAGTAACAACTGTTAAAAGCAAGCAAAGGAAATATGCATTAAATTTACTTTTCTTAACTTCACATGCATGTATTAAGGACTAATTCACACACTAAGATCCTGATGCTTGTTGCCTAAAGTACTACATAGACTAGTCCACAAAAATTTCAGTCAGAAATAGGGATTTTTAAGCACTCTATGCACCCCTTCCAGCTCTACTCAAGACCATCAGATTTTCCCCCGCACTTTCCCCCGCTAGAGAATATACAGCACTTATTTACTATACCTATACCCATACATTCCAGAAATTCCATCTACACATTTACTGTTTAAAGGAATCATAAGATCAAGTGACATTTAATCTAAAATGATAACAATATTGTCACAACTGAAGTTGCTGAACAGAGGTATACCTGTAGAAAATATAACTAATAGGAATGTATTTTAGAAACAAATGAAATTCAGTATCATGTTACTTGGTTACTCTGTCACTACTGTTGTGAGGTCAGATATCTAAACCAGTCTGACAAAACAGCAGCTTGCAAACTACTGATTCTGTGACAGATTCAGGACACAGCTACAAAACACACAATTCAAAAGAGCCCTCATTTACTTAACAAAGTGCAGATTTGCACTGAGTTATCTGTACTTTTGTACTTTATTCCACTTCTGTGTTCAAGTAGATATAGTCATAATGAGTAATTTCTCAACTGCCTCTTCTATGAAGATCTTTAGACAAACTTGAGTCAAATTTTACTCAACTTCTCTGAAGAATAAAACTTTGTCCTTCTGTGAATCTGTTAATTTTGTTTTTCTAGAAATTTTATTTTTTATTAATAGCCTCTTTATATCCAAATTAGAACCAAGAAACACTGAGAGATGTGTTCGGACATGACTAATACCTGCTCGTGGTACAAGTTTGCTGAACACTGCCAGATGCATAACATCTATTATTCTGGAACAGAACAAACTACAAAATGCATTCCAGAATAAATGGAGTATATAAACCTTAAGGACTTATTTGCAATTAACTTCATGCAGACAAATATGGTTTGTTAGTTGAGATTCTTTTGGATCTTTGCATTGCCATTCATAAGTATTCTAAAAATCAGCTCACTATTACCACTAACACCTAAAGGAAGCTTCAGAATTCACTGTAGAACAAGAGAGGCCACAGGCAAGACTTCTTAATCTAAACAAGATTTTAAAGTGACAAGCTCTTAAGAGCTAACAGGGAACCTTCAGCGCTCATCACCAAAAAAATTCATGCAGTAAAACCATAGTTGCTAGTATTTTTCTTTTATTTATATGTTATATCAACAGTCCTAATGAGCAACCAAGGCCATTTACGACCCTTATTTTTTTGTCACATCACATAGATCTTTCTTCCTAAAAAATTCAGGAAGTTCACTGTTAGTGCTACTTTCTCGAATACACAGGACCAGAAAATTATTAGTGCTACTTTCTCAAATACACAGGACCAGAAAATTATTACAGCACTAGTACTACAGTCCTTACTATTATTGGTACTTCTGTTGCCTTTTTTTGTTAGAAAACAATGTCTTGAAGATTAACATTTTCTAGATGAACAAATGTGATTGTCTGAATTTGTGCTTAAATCCCAAGAAAAGCAGCGTTCAGTACTGGCTGATCTACTGGAAAGTCTGTGACCAAACACTGGGTTAAAAGGACTGTTGTGGTTTAACCCCAG